CTCTTGATTTTCTGTAGCAGTTCACTCGGAGATTTGGAAGGGTGACCAGAAGATTCTGATATATGCTGCAGTTCTTTGTAGAGTTGTCTGGATAAATTACTTGTGACAAGACTGGTCAGCCTAGAGAAGTGAGTCTGAAGAGCCTTAATCAGTCATTTTCTCGGGGACTTGATGCATGCATTACCCAGCTCGACTTTTGGAAGGCGAGTTAAGTGCAAATAGAGTAATAGCATCCTGATGCTAATATTTTGCTCTACTCGACCTCCTATACCCATTCCACATTAACTTCACAATGTTATCAGCAAAATCGCCCAAATTCAACCAAATGAAGTCCATACGATGTGGGCATATTTGGTCATCTTTTCCGAAACACTGCACAGAAGCCCTTTGAGTGCTGATACGTGAAGATTATCAACACTCCACAGACTGAAACAAATTGCCAACAATGGTGGGTGAGAACTATACTTTCTACTTGGTGACTACATGTCGCATTCCCATTTTGAAGCGGCGCCACCTTCATATGCGGTGGATATGCGGGCGTTTCAATAAGTAGGCCGACGTATGCCAGTTTGGTATCATGAAAATTCAACAATATACGTCTAATTTTTGAGCCTGCTACCTCTTTCAATCCACCACACTTGATAAATATGATTATCCAGCTAGATCTTCGGATGAAAGTATGACAAATGTAGAGCAGCTCAAGAATATAATGCTACCGATAATATTTGCGTCAAAAACAATTATTTAAGCAAAATTTCGTTTAAAGAGCGTTTTAAAATGTCATTATATCACCATGGCTGTAGACTACGACGCTACATTTGGTGAGAATATGCAGTAAGAACGGTGTTTTCTGTTACTTAGTGAAGGATAGAGGGAGTAATGGGGAAATCTCTTTTAGCGAAGATGGCCGCCCCACAGTAAAAACCATTGAAAACAGACCGGAAATGATGAAACCAATAGGCGCCGGAGAAATCCTCTAAGTACTGATACAAATGTGGAACGCAGTTCCGAGACTAGAATGTGTCCCAGAACATCTAGGGCTCAAAATGGTGACGCTTATATTAAAGTGCGAAAACCCTACATCGCTGTCGGATTATAGACCGATAGCCAGCGTTTCTCACGGACATGCAAACATGCAACACAACGTAGAGCCAGTTATCTAAAGGCCAAGGCTCGTATTGCATGTTGGAGAAGAAGAACGCTGACTTGTGATTCAAGTATCTCTGTAAGAAAGTGAAAACACTCACCTACATCCTACGTGGCTGCAGGACAGTTCATGACTTAAGAATAGTGACGCACAGTTGGGTAAAGAGGACGCTGATGAATATCCTCAACAAACGAGGACTGACGGTAAATTGAAGATTTACTGATCAACCAAGTACTAGCAGATATAGCAAGCTAATTACACAGCAGCTTGTCAATGTGATTCGCAGCCGGTCACCGTTACTACACTGAAAAAGCTTCTAGTCTTGTTGCTCCGAATTTTTGTCAACAAACAAACGTCTAACCGCGACAGAGATTGACACCTCCAACGAACGTGAAAATGGTTCGGGTAGAGTTCATTACGTTCACCACCACTGACATCAGAAAATGCAACCCATATGGTCCAAACGATCTCTGTTCATGATAATTAATTGTGAATACAGGATACTATGCGGTCAATGTAACACATAACGATAGTAATAAGCATGGGATGTATACTGGATGCAAAACAGACAAAGCGATGGAAACTCTTCTTGGAATTCCTGTCCTAAATCGGTTGGATACTCGAAGAAACTACCATCGGACCACTTAAATGCTGTCATGGCACATATGTGCGATGGTAGGGTACAGCCCAGTCACGTCTATGTTTTGGTGACCAAATGTCAAGCATTTATGATCCGAACACCTCATATGCGTGTTAATTAGCTAGTGCACGATAGAGTTAATGAATTCGCTTGGCTGAATGTTTTTTTCAAATTACATATTTTCTCTCTATTCAACCTGTTAATTTTCAAAGATCGGCAGACCTAATAAAGGCAAGTGATAAGTCAACCGGATAAATGGAGTGCATGTAACGCCGTTCTGATAGTGTGCATTACGTAGTATGAGCATATGATGCATGCACCGAGGGACTCCGGAAATCTGATGAGTTATGTCTGTAGGGCTCCGCCTGTTTGAAAAGCGCAGCGACATCTCCTACCAATGAAGTCGCCCAACGGTTTATGCAATAGGTGTGTGTAGAAGCAAAACCTCTACTAACTGCAACGTCTTGTAGGTCAGACACACAGAACTTTGAAATACGTAACGCTAAGGAAACAGCAGGTATGGGAGATTCCTAAGTGACGTCATGTACGCCAAGTAATGAAGCAAAGTTAGTATCAATCGGTAACATCCCTGGGATTATAGATGGAAACGCAACTCATTCTATGCCTTATAAGGATGGCACAGTGGTTAGGACTGTCGCCGACCATGCACATGGTCCGAGGTTCGAACCCCTGCCGATGCACATCTGATATCTATGTTCGGCCTGCGAATTTTGGGCTACAGATATCCATGCTGAAAATTCCATACTTGTACCAAAAATACGGTGTGAAATCAAGCTGTAATCAAAAAATTTCTTGAGCAACTCTTTTGAATCCAGTCCTTTAGGTATCTATTATTTTATGTCTGTATGGACGAGCAGATGTTGGAATATGTATGAATTGTAAAAACAATGATTGCATGTTTATTACTGGCTGTGGAAGACACATATTGTCACTTACGTCTTCCTTCTGGTGTACTGTCAGTAAGTACAGAGTAGACGGACCATGTTCAGGGTCTATCGTGCTGGTGCGTGTATATGCTGCACAAGTGCACATTGAAGCATTGTCGGTGTAAGCTCCTTGTTGAAATAGGTACACAAGCCAGTTGATGTTAATTCCATCCAATTAATATTTGGGTCATAAAGCTCACCTACTAGCAGATGCATGTTTCTACCATTCCACATCCTCAGGTGTTTTAATATGAAGTCACTGGCTTGGCCGACAGGACCTCAGTAAATATCCGCAATCTTTATAGTGCTCTTTCACGGATTAATGATATAACTTGAGGCTCCTCTAGCTCAGCTATCGTGAGCTTCTGAGGTCACCGACCTGAAATCTGTGTCATCCCAGATGTACAGGGAAACCCCACCAAACCAATAGATGTATTTACGAACCAAAACCAGCCGTTAGACGAACGCTTAGCTAGCTAGTGATCGTGCACGTTACACGACGGGGTACCAAATGGCGGGGATGCTTGACCGGAAGCCTTCAGCTAAACAAGTCGACTTAAACAGTGGTGGTCAGCATCCAATGAGTGATTGCTGTGGTCAATAATTTTGGGGAATTATTTACCGCTACAGCTCACTCCCCCCCTAGTGGGGTCGTGAGGACCCTAAGACAGAACCAGCCGGAAGTAAAAAAAACTCGATGGTTCCCTTTCGGGTGAAAAAAATCTTCCGAGCGGCTTGGTCTTATGCCTACTGGTTTGTCTGCCTATGCTAATGGGGTGTTTGTACATAGCTTCCTGGTGTTGTTAGTTGGATTCCGTGCTTCGTTTGTTTCCCGTCCAGTGCCCGTCGCACCTGGAAAAGAAAACAAGAATGCTAAGAACCATGTCGAGGAAAATGTACGAAATGATCTTTTTGGTTAAAAAAAATTGTGTGCATTTACTATACAGTAAACTTTTGCTAAGTTCAGAACATCGAAAAAAAAATACATCGAATTAATTTTTTAAGTATGTTACATGAACTGTGGAGAAAAAACAATTTTTTTTGTGTTCGGTGGTACTGTATATAAAAAAAACTTATACGTCAAAAAAAAAATAGTACCACAAACGAGTGAGTTGCGTGAATCACACGACTTCGTTAATTCAAATAAGTATGCAAGTGTTCTGGGAACCTTACAGTGCGTCCAGAACGGTTTTTCTTAGGAGGCTCAACCTTAGTAGCCAGTGGGCGAATGCCCTTGCAGTCAATAGTGTGACCCAGGAAGTCGAGTGAGTCAACACCGATTTGACACTTATGAATATTATTGGTAACACCATGTTGGCGTAACCTGTCAAATGCCAAGTCCAAGTGCCGAAGGTGAGTTTCCTTGTCTGGACTGGCAATGAGGCAGTCGTCTAAGTATGCGTATACAAAGTCGAGACCGCGAAATACTTCGTCGATGAAGCGTTGGAATGTTTGGGCTGCATTCCGAAGACCGAATGGCATACGTAGAAATTCAAAAAGTCCGAAAGGCGTAATGATAGCCGTTTTCGGGATGTCTTCTGTTGCCATCGGGATTTGGTTATACGCTTTAACCAAGTCGATTTTGGAGAATATAGTCGCGCCGGATAAGGTTGCCGTCAAGTCGTGTATATGAGGCAACGGGTAGCAATCAGGGGTTGTTTTGGCATTCACTCGCCGGTAATCACCGGTGGGTCGCCAATCGTTGCTATCCTTTTTCGGAACCATATGAAGTGGGGATGCCCATGGGCTATTCGAAGGTCGAATGATGCCAAGGCTAAGCATATGGTCAAATTCATTCCTGGCGATTCTCAGTTTGTCAGGAGCTAATCGTCGTGCTTTAGATGTCACAGGTTGTCCTGTGGTAATGATGTGGTGCATAACATTGCTGGTTATGCACGGTAGGTCGTTCGACGGGCAGTTAAGTTCCGGATACTTGTCAACGATAGGTTGAAAAGTTGGATCAAGAATTGCCTTTATCTTAACGGGTGACAAGCTAGGGCCTATGTAGGTAATGCCTTTGATAGACAGACTAGTAGTATTGTCAATCAGTCGTTTTCGGCGGACGTCTACGAGTAAATCATGATGATTAAGTAGGTCCGTGCCAATGATGGGCATTGTAACGTCAGCGAGAAGGAAAATCCACCGAATAGGTTTGCGTAAACCTACGTTCAGATAGACGTATTTCCTACCAAAGGTTGCGATTGGTTTTCCATTTGCAGCCTGTAAGTTGAAGGTAGGTTCCTTCTGTCGATCTGCTGCTGTAGCAGGAAGGACGCTGACTTCGGCGCCTGTGTCGACTAAGTATCGAGTCTGGCTTATCACATCATGGATGTAAAGTAGGCGGCTAGTGCCACCGGCGACGGTTGCCGCTAACGCGTGCCGGCGGGATAGTTTCCCGCAGACTTTGAGACATTTCCGAAGTTACAAGGCTTACGGCAACACTTCGCTTCTTGGCCATAGGTGTTGTGGTACCAGCACCAGTCAGGGTTTTTCAGTGAACGTGGTTTGGACTTAGATCGACCACGCGAGTTCCTGCGTTGAGGAGATTTAGGACGACGGTTGGAGGATTTAGAATGCGTGTTTGACCTAAACATCTGCTGAAGGGAGTTGCATAACTCTGTCATTGCAGGATCCTCACTCGAAGTCTGCTTAGTCATTGAGCATATTTCGGGGACAGACCGTTTAGTTATTTCTAGGATCTTATCTGCAGTAATAGCTAAGTCCTCTATTACAGTACCCTCAAGTGTCACAAGTACGGTCTGTACAGATTGTGGCAACTTGGTTAAGAAGAGTTCTCTAAACAGTCCTTCGTCGAACTGACATTGGCCGACGACTTGTTTCATTCTTGTCAGCATGCTCACGGCTGACTGATCTCCTAACTCGATGTTGCGAAATAATTCATCTAGACGTTGTCTGTCCGTGAGAGCGTTTCTCCTGAGGAGGGATGCTTTCAGCAACTCGTACGAGTTACTTACCTCGGGACTCAACATCTGTGATGTTACGTACTTGCTGAATTCCCGCGGTAGGGCGTGAATAACTGCAAGTAACTGTGAACGTTGATCAGTTATCCCATGCTCACAAAAATCTGCTTCAGCTAGCAGAAACCACGTTTCAGCATTATCTGGCCAGTATGGTACGAGCTGAATGGTTTTAGGAGTTGAGCGGATACGGATGACCTTGGGACTAAGATCACTCATGACGAAAATTATGTCAAATAATATATGGTACAAGAACAAATACAAAATGGAACGAACTCACCGGGGTTATCTGCGGATTTTTCGTGCATGAAGTTCGCGGTCGGGCTCACCAGTTTAAAGGTTGGCGGATTTATCGTGGGTGAAGTTCGTGGTCGGGCTCACCAGTTTAGGGTTGAGAGATATTAAAGGTTTGACGTGATATCTCGTTCAACAACTTCTAATTAATTTATTCTCGCGTACCAAAGACAAAGCAAAAGCCAACAATTGATCGTCCAAACCAATAGATGTATTTACGAACCAAAACCAGCCGTTAGACGAACGCTTAGCTAGCTAGTGATCGTGCACGTTACACGACGGGGTACCAAATGGCGGGGATGCTTGACCGGAAGCCTTCAGCTAAACAAGTCGACTTAAACAGTGGTGGTCAGCATCCAATGAGTGATTGCTGTGGTCAATAATTTTGGGGAATTATTTACCGCTACACGGTTAACGATTGATACTTTTGTACTGTAAGGCATGGTAAGTTCGGCGGTTTTTTAATGTTCAAACTATGCTTGTCTACTTTCAGGCTGGCTGTGAAGTATGCAGGGATTGGTTACCCAAGACGAGGCAACGGATGACCAATAGGAGTGCCCTTCCCTCTTATCTAATTGTATTGCGATTGGTTGTAGATATAATACTTGACCTTGAGTCTTCGTTCTTACTAACACGTAACACTTGTGTGATCACACTGCTAACGTGCGCTTTGCTCTCTGTTTCAGATCATTCCTTGACGAGTAGGATTACAGTACTCGCTCAACTTTTGAATTTTGATGACTGCGATAATACACTTTCGTACACCTTCTCAAGTGCCTTTTGATTTACGTTGTGGATGTCGAGCAAACAGAACGTTAGGGCGAAGTTTAAGAATAGCGTCCCAAAACCTTCAACGCTCAAATGACCTTGAACGCATGCTAGTCGTTGGTTAACGGTTCCTGTCATTATCATAGCTGAAATATCAACCCTATTCATCAAATAAGGAGCAAGTTCCACCTAGATAACACTTTTATTACTGTTTGGACAATGTGTTAACATCTCGTTAGGGTTAGGATAGGGGTTAAGGCGAGTATTGTGGTTAGGGTTACGGTCATTGTGTGCGTCGGTGGCACAATGGTTAGGGTTAGGGTAGCGATTAGGAGTAGATTTTTCGTTTATTTCAAGTTCTTTAATTATCCTTATTTCCCTTATATGTAGTCGCCAATACTCTTACTGGAACCATAGTAACTAAACCGAGGGCTTAGGAGAGGACTACACAGCAAGAGAAGAGAGATGAACCATTCCCAAAACAGCACACCTTCAGTCACTTTGGTGAATACATATACAGAAACTAGTCCAAATTAGCAACTGATACTCTTCATCGCAACTGGAACGTATTTTTAAGTCATATCAGAGAAATATAATCCCTTTAATGTGTTTTCATGCATTTTCTTGTGAATATACGTCATTTTTCGTGCAAACATTCCTCATTTTTATGATTGGCTGCCTGAAGGTCACTCGTGCGTTCGCATCCCTTGGGACGCTATTGTTGAACTTTGCCAACGTTAGGATACAATAATAAACGAGAAGACGTACTGGGATATACGTGTACGCAAGTTTGGGTGACTCTAAAGAATAGCGGCCCAAACCGAAACGACCTTCGAACCAAAAAGTGACCTTGAGCAAGGAATCAGCTGACTGTATCATTTTCGGAAGTAATCATGGATGTTTTCGATTACTGTTTGGATAACGGACTCATAGCTTTGTCGAAAATTTGCCAGTGCGGAGGAGTTATGCATATACAAATATAAGCAGAGGCCATCGATGGCTTTGTATACAGATGTATTGAGTGCCGAAGGAGGAAATCGGTTCGAGATGGTTTGTCGTTGTTTTTTAGTTTACAGATCCCTTAGGAACTTTTTTCTCTAGGTCTAAACTACCGTTAACGAAAATCTTAATGATATGTAACTTCTGGGTCCTCAAAAGACCAGTTACAGCTACGGCTTACGAAACAGAAAATTCAGAGGTGTCGGCAGTGCAGTGGTACAATTACTGCAGAGATGTTTCCTCGTGGAAAATGAACAGTCTGACTCAAGTTCTTGGAGGAGTCGGTGTAATCGTACATATTGATGAAACTGTATTGATAAAAAGGAAATATAACCGGGGGAGATTACAATCCAACCAGCAGTGGATATTGGGTATATACGACACAACATTACGAAAAGGGTATATAGAGGCGATTCCAAATCGCAGTGCAGGTGTATTATTGCCTATTATTCAGCGTTTGGTGCTGCCTGGGACGACTATTCACACAGATGAATGGAGTGCCTACCGTCAATTATCCAATCATGGGTATATTCATCATGTCGTCAATCACACGGAGGGTTTCAGGAATCCTGTGGATGGAACGCACACTAATTCCATCGAAAGTTTATGGAGTCGTCTGAAAAGACGGATAAGAGCTGTTAATGGATCAAGAAATCCAATGATTTACAGTTATCTAGATGAATTTATGTATAGAAACTGGTTTAATATGACAATGAAGACTCCTATGAGAAACTGGGAGGTTTTTTTGCAACATATACGCGAACGTTATCCTTTGTAACTATTTATTATGACTGCATTACTTATATATAAACCGTTTTTTACAATTATGCGCCTTTCATTTTGAGCCTTCTCATTGGTCGAAGTTGTCCCTGTCAAGGTCATTTTTGCGTTGAAAGGTCGTTTCGGTTTGGGCCGCTATTCTTTAGAGTCACCCAAGTTTGGTCAAATAGAGCACCACAACAATGGTACATTGAGGTCTATTGATATTTCTCACACTGTTCTGTGACCCACTCCCAACTCTAACCATGATCGGCCAAATTAAGCTTTAAGCACCACTGACAATTACCAATGGAGTGCGACCGCCCCAATGACCTTGAAACGCACACAGCAAATTAGTGAAATAATACCAATATCAATCAAAAGTATGCTCATCGAAGTGTTATGTTATCTACTAAATGGGATTTCTGGCAAGTTTCAGCCCTGGGTTTTGGGAAGGATTAAGTTACGGTTTACGCCAAGGACAAATTAGGGTTAGGTTAACCTAATATAGCCGATATTAAGGTTAGTTTAGGCATATTTTCACGTTAGGTTTAGGTTCAGGGAAGATTAGGGTTATTGTAAGGGTTCGAAGACCTAAATAATTACATACATAGAATGTGGTTAAATTGCTCTGTTGATATAAGAATAGAACTTGTGCACCGTGGTGGTAGAGTACAATTACATTGTGAGTAAAATTTATTCTGTTAAAGTCTCACATCGTGTTATACAGTATTAATATTTACTGATGACGTTTCGAGTACAATTTATTGCTCAGTATATATTACTGTATAATATTATGAAACTTTATCAAAATAAATTTTACCCACAATGGAATTATGCTCGGTTGAAACTCCAACCTAAAACTGAGAGCTATTTATATCACATGCAAGAAGAAGGTATCCTCTGTAACATTTTCCTACAATTTTTATGCACCTTTTTTCATAAATATATTCCATACACAAAAATGCCTCCTTCACGTGATTGGTGCGTTCAACGTTATTCGCTGATTGCTGGTAGTTAGTGGTGCTTAAAGTTTAACTTTGCCCCATGATCCTAACTTCTGATCCTAAATTTAACCCTAATCGTAACCTTAACCCTAGGCCATAGACCTTAATCTTAAGAGCCATAACGCCACCGAACAGCATACATTTCCAGAAGAACGAAGTAGTAAGTAAGTAAGTAAGTAAGTAAGTAGAATACTGTATCTATCCTCTCAAAGTCTAAAAAGGCAGGCATGACTTGATTTCCTGTGTCGAATCGGTTCTTGAAGGTCAGCTTTTGAGAGACCTTGGCTTTGGCTATTATACTTTAACTTTACCGTCAACCTCATTAGGTTAGTCTAACCCTAACCTATCCTTAGCCTCAAAACCTAACTGAATCTTCTCTAAACCTAACTTGAAAAACTTACCAGATATCCCATTTAATAACATAACACTTTTCTGAGCTTACTTAATTCATGATGATATTATTTGCCAGGTTTCACTGTCTTGCTGAGTGAGCGTCTCACGGTCATTGGTGTGGTCGAGCTCCATTGGTAATTACTGGCGCTTAAAGTTTAACTTGATGACCACGCATAACTCCATTTATATACTACGAACTCATCTGGTTGGATGCTCAAGGTCATCAATACATTCATCAGGTAGTTTCATTTCGGGCTGCTGTAGTTTAAAGTCACTAAATGAAGAACTGTTTTGAGCACAGTTTTTTTCTGTATAATTATACCAATTAATATAAAAGTCAAGTTTTATTTACATATACATCCAGTAGCTGGAAACACTTATATCCTACAATGAAACTGTAATAACTAGCGTTTTTAAGCATTCATAAGTTTACTTTATAAAAAGCAAAGGAAACTATTGAAACAGTCTGTAAACTAGTAATTGGAAAAAAGAGGTTTCAATTCACGGAATAAATAAGAAGAGCTTCCAATTAAGAAAACAACGTATTAATAATAATAAGTAATGAATAATGAATGCTGTGAGGATTCAACTGTATAAAGGATACTTTATTGTTCTTAAATATTGTACCACTTTGTTCCACTTAACATCTAACATCAGGTGATATATATGTAATCATCATTGCTGAAGTACTACTCTTAAGAACTAAATTTAGTTTTGAAAAAAGTCACAGTTAAAAATTAAAGTGGTGCTGTAAATCTAAATTCATGATTAAAATAGTGCTTTTCTCTGTTAGCTGAAGATGTACTGGTTCCTGGATCATAACTGATGCGATTGTTTACTTTTGAGAATTGAATGGAATCTAGGGATTAAGTTTTATTCACTTAATGAGAATTCAGTTACCTCTTCGAACAGATTATTTCCCTTATGCGGCAGGCTTTGAAGCGACAGGTAAAACGATCTACGCATGTCGGTAGGTACAAGTGGATACTGAAAGTAGGTATTGAGCTAACATGATGTCCAGAAAAAGCATGGCTCAAACGTACATCAAGTGTGGGGAATAATTCAGCCGGACTTATGTTAAATTCGTCAACATTTGAGTGTTGAAACTGTGCGGAAGAACGCTTCGGATGTTGCGCACTACGATCAGTTGCAGGCCAGACAAAGCTGGGCAGTATCAGCTTGTCTCTAGGGCATACACCAGGGTGTCAGAGATTGTAAAGAAATTCAAATACCTTTCTGTGTGAAGACAGAAGAGCTATAGGCCTTGGAGTGTCTGTGGGTAAGTCATGGAATGGTACCGTCACCACTGAAAAGATGTACACACTGTATCTTTAGGTTATTGCAATTAGGAAGTTTGTCTAGAGTTATATCCAAAGTTTGGAGTTTCCACATTTTACGCAAATCCATGATGCAAAGTCAACACAGTGCGTACGCTACCTGGATATTCATATGATACACATCTCGGGTATCCTACGTGAATTTTGAAATCCGTTCTGAATGGCGTAATTCAAATAGGAAGTATCTAAATGTAGTAGTGTGAAGAGTGGTAGTTGAAGGCTTATGATCGCTCAGGATAGTGAATTGACGATTTCGGAGAAGTACTAGTAATTGATGGAAGCGTGGATGACAGGTAATTCCCACCAATAATATTCCTAATTGTTCCAGCTAAACAGGCCACAACCTCTACCTCAACTTGATAGACTTTGGGAAGGCCTTCGACAGCGTTAACCGCAAAGTAATTTGGAAACTACTCGAGTACTGCGGCGTACAGTACCCCAAATATTCATCAACCTTATCCAAGAACTGTACGACAACAGCACATGTCAAGTGATCCATAACGGAAAACTCAGCGAGGCGTTTGGAGTAAACACATGAGTCAGACAAGGGTGCTTATTATCACTAATGATATTCCTAGTTGTGGTGGACTGGATTATGCGTCAGACAGTGGGAAACGAGCAGACAGGGATATCCTGGACCGACGTGGAGAACCTAGAAGACCTGGATTTCACGCATGGATGATTTATGTTTGATGTCACACAGAATTGAAGACTTACAAGCGAAAACCGACAAACTGGTCGAAGACGCAGCCGGCGAAGACAGGACTCCAGGTGAACATAGACAAGACGGAGGCTATGAAAATAACCAACCAACAACAACAACAGCAACATCCAGCGCCAATCACCATCAACGGGAGGGATTTGAAAAAGGTTACCTCATTCACATTTGTTTATCTAGGGAGCATTGTCTCAACTACGCGTAGTCAGAGCGGACGACGACGTCAAATCGAGAATCGGGAAGGCGAGAAACACATTCATCAACATGAAACCAACCTGGAAATCTTCGTCACTCAGCAAGTATCAACAACAAAATTCGGTCGGATTTTCAATACAGACGTCAAGTCAGTCAGTTCTTCTATACGGATCAGAAACTTGGCGGCAGGTCACAGAGAATATTTCCAACAGCCTGTTGCAGACCTTTATCAACCAACAACTGTCAACTATCGCTTTATACTGAAGATCAGATGGCCGGGCCGGAAAGAATCACCAACAAGAAACTATGTCTGGGAAGGAACAAAACAAGAACCAATCAACAACCAACAAATATGCAGGAGAAGGTGGAGATGGATTGGACACTCGCTGAGGAGGCCGCCGCTGGGTGACATCGCCCGCGCGTCAGGCCATTGATCGAGTGGAACCCGACAGAATGGGAAGCGGCGAGTGGGTCGTCAGTGCAAGGGTGACATGGAGGAGATCGTGTGAAGAGGAGTTGAAACAGTATGGACTAACATGGATGCAGGTGAAAAGTACATCAGAAGGAAGACAGAAGCAAGTGGAGACGTGCAGTTGAAGCCCTACGTTCCAATAGGAACCCAAGGAAACAATAATATTAATAGATGACAGTTAATCCCCCAACAAAAATGCCTTATGGCGTTCCACATGCAGACAACTTTCCAGGAAAGAAAGCAACAGGTGTTGGATTCCATAGCTATTTTAGGTGCTCCGACAAAAATGCTGGTGGAGAGGGCGGGGAGGCTTTACATCCATATCTAGAAATGCGCACACATATTTCAGGAAATTAGGCACTCGGCGATTTTGGATCGCCTGAACCTTTTAATGTAATGGGAGAATATCATCTTCATCGGTCGAATATTCTGAAAAATTCCACGAGTTGATGTTCATTTAACATTTGGCTAGATTGGCTATAACTGAATGTTTTGAAAGTTGGCACAAAACCCGTTGTACACAGTTAAGATGAGTTTCTTCATTTGGAGTAGCTATCAGAATGTTGTCCAGAAACGCATAATCTAGGTCTAGATCGCGCAAGGCATGATCAATAAAAAACCCGAATTTCCGCACAGCTTAACATAGACCAAAGGGCATGCCAAGAGACTCTAAAAGACCGAAAGATTCTATGGCCATAGTCTCTGGATGTCATCAGGCTGAATTTAGATCTGATTATAGCCATATGTTAGACCAAGCCGGTCGAATTTATCTGTGCATTTCAAGAATGTGGTCAAGTCACGCCCGTTTTATTCATGTGAGAGTGCAACTCTCTTAATTAAAGAGGTTTCGAAATGATTTTAGAAAGTCTGAGAGGGCGGCAGAAACTCTCTTATCACTGGTACGAGGAGGTTCACAATAACTAAGTTAGACCTAGTTTCCTGTGAATGGATACATCGCAAAGCGAACTGGGCTTATACATTGGTGAATCATGAAGACAGTCGGCACGCCCATAAGTTGTGAAGTTGTAGTAAGAGT